TCTCTTGTTTTGCTGCGATAACATTTGTGTCGGTGGAGGAGGACTTGGAAATATTTGCCTTTAATCCAAATTGTCTCTCTGCTCACCGCCCGGTCTAAATAGTCTCATCGCTTCAGGGGAGAAATATCTCGGGAGGAGACACCTCGAACCACGACAACTTAATCTTTGGAGCGTCGCCTGTTTGTCATTCAGTTGTTCCACATCTCATTTCTCCTGGGCTGCAGCGTCCCATCTCTGCAATATGTTAACCATCAAGCAAATAAATAGAGAACGCCCAGCAAGTGGAGCTCCACCAGGAACATTGATTTCATATAATGCACCATTTATTTTCAATTATCGTGGCGCTTTCTGCTCCTTCTCCGGCGCCTCCTCTCTGCCTTCCCTTCTCCTTCCCTTCCAATACCCTTGCCGGCGCGTTGGTGACTTTGAACAGTCACTAAACAAATAAGAGCGCTTCCAATATTTCTAGAATTAAGAAGCCAGCACGAAGAGAGAGCGCAGGAAGGGACCACTGTTGGCCGTGATTAGTTCTTCGGCAAGCCTTGGGGTTGTGAGCATCCGGGTCTTTTGTGCAATAAAACCCTTTTCTGTCCACCCTGAGAAGGCCAGAAATTATGACTTGCTGGGCTTTGTCAGCATCCTTAAGGCTCTCTGTATCCCTCTCTTCATCCATCTTCCAGGCCTGTGGTTGTCCTGCAGTTCTTTAGTCAATGTCATGGGCAGGGATTCTTTATTTCACTTTGCAAGGTGGAATTGGCTAAAAAAAAAATCCCAGCTGCTTTACTGCATTCTGCCTAGTAGTTTGCTTGTCGCCTGCCTGCCTGCCTGCCTGCCTGTCTGTCATCTATCTACCTATCATCTATGGTCTGTCTGTCTGTCTGTCTGTCTGTCTGTCTGTCTGTCTGTCTGTCTGTCTGTCTGTCTGTCTGTCTATCTGTCTATCTATCTATCTATCTACCTACCTATCTACCTATCACCTATCTTAGCTTTTAAAATTATTGTTTTGTATTCCATGCCTCTTATGATGGTCTATAACTAACAATAAAGATTTAACTGAGAGAACTTTTGTTTTTTTCTAAAAGAACTATACCAAGAGCTTTTGTGCGGGGTTTTTTTTTCCTTTTTGGAAGTCACCTGTGTCGCTGTCGTGAGTTCCCAAGTCCTGAAAAATGGGCACAGATGGCAAACGGTTTGGGGCAGCAAGAGCAAAAAAAGGTTCACAAACCTCTCAGAAGCAAGTAATATTCGTCATAACTAATTATTTCTTTTTAATTGTCAGGGAAAGTCTGGACTAATGAAACACAGCTGCACACTAATGTTTAGTTCTGCAAAGAAAAAAAGAAAAAAAAACTTCTGGATTGAATGTGTCGCCCTTTTTCTTTCACAAACCACAGGCTGTTAATTATCTAAATACAGGCCCCTCCAAGCTGGCTGAATGAAGATTAATTAGTTTTTGAAATAATCACTACATTGATGCTGGGGGAAAAAAAATGTGGGCTGGGCTTTGGAATAACGGCTAAAAATTAGCCCCCTTATTTCCCCCCCCCTTTGTTTCTCTTTGTAGAAGACCAGATGAAATTTCTCTCTGTTGCATTGGCAGAGAAAGGCCATTAATCAGCCAGGCAGATGGTCCTTCCTGAAGTCCCAAACACAGGGGAGAGCACGACAAAATCTTGCCCGTGAAAAGAAGCAATGGATTCTCCTGCTTGGACAGGCTCCAGATTTGATTCCTGAAAAGCCGCACGGCGCATTATCGAATTTGAGATGCAGAAATCAAATTTTAGGAGTGCCGAAGAAAGTCTCCGAACTTAGAATGAGGTAGAAGCAGGAGGAAGCACAGAATCGCTGGGCTGCAAGGGAGCTTTGAGGTCATCTAGCCCAACCCCCTGCTCAGGCAGGAAACTCCTCTACCATTTCAGACAAATGGCTGTACAATCTCTTCTTCAAAACCTACATGGTTGGAGCACCCACAACTTCTAGAGGCAAGCTGTTCCACAGATTGATTGTTCTCACAATTTCCAAACCTTTCAGGATAGATAGAAAGCTGTAAGTCTGGTTTTCGATGGACACATTTGTCTTTTCTCGTTCAGATTAGCAGAGACCATTCTGGGGGGGAAGGAGGAGAAGTTGCTTTCTGGTTTTATTCAACAGAAAACTCCTCCACAGAGCACAGCTGGGTGTAAAGTGGTGATAAGGGAATCAACTCTTTCAGTATATCTATATTTTATTAAGCTCAGCTTGATAGGGAGATTCCTATCTCTGTCTGAGATATCAGCCCACTGGTTTCTTTAAACTGTAACTTGAATCAAAGCCAGTTTAGTAGGAAGGAAAATAATGAGATCTTCTCGAAGTTAAGAAGACTGCCTGCAGCGCCTAAAAGTTGCAGCGCAGAATGCTGCCTGGATCGGCAAAATGTGTCTGCTATCTGAGCCAGGGCCAGGAAATGTCAGGGTTGACCGTTTGAGTTTAACCACAAAAAGTTTAATAGCTCCACCGTCAATCAAAGTCACACACTCCGCCAGGTTAAAATGTCTTTCAACCAGCATTATGCCAACCCAGCCAGGATTGTTACTCCATGACTCCAAGTAAATTAGTTGAGGTGAAATTAACTTGCCATGATTAGCGAACTGTGCAAAAGACAAGGGCTGTGTGGTGCTTCAGACTCAGTTCCCCAAAAGTGCTTCTGCAGTTCTTTAAAGCAGCTGCATCTCTTTTTTTGGGGGGGGGGGACTTGGGAAGCTGCCGACCGTAGCAATCAGATAAATCCTGAATAAAGACACGGTTGCTTTAAAGAGTCGCAGAGAAATGCTGCCTAGTGTCTCAAAGTACCCTTGGATGAATAGAATCCAAACTGCAGCACGCAATCACAAAATAAACCCCTGGATAAGAGAATCAGGACCATGGAGAGCACCAGATAAATCCTGTCCTTGTATTTCCTGATCTGGAAGAACTCCCCATAGGAAAAAAAAAATCCCCTCCGAAGTTTTCCTTGGGAATTCAATGGGACTGCTGAGACAAGGCAGAGTGGAAGACCAACCCCAGGCTGAATAATTGGAATAGAATAGAAAATGGAATGAAATGGAATGGAATAGAATGGAACAGAATAGAATAGAATAGAGTAGAATAGAATAGAGTAGAATAGAATGGAATATTTGGCAAACAGCCCAAGCAGAAGCTGATTTTGCTTACAGGCTGCACGGATCAAAGTTCTGCCTTTCACATCAAGCAACTTCCCTTCGGCAGCTGCAGCCTTGTGGGAAGCTAATTGAATTCCATCCAGTTACACGAAATCAAATTTCATTTTTCCCTCCGTTTGACCCATTTCTTCCTTTTAATCCAATTTGGCTCCTGGCGTGCCCCTATAAGTGAAAAACAAGCGGGAATCTGATCTATCCCCTGCCACCAAGCAGCCTCTAAACAAGCTAGCATTTATCCTAATGATAGGACGGGCTAGCAACCTCTCCTTTATTAAGCTTCTTGGAAGTCAGGGGATGAAACCCGGCACGGGTGACAACAACTCCACGGCTATTTTAATTCTTTTCTTTCTGCCCATCCCATTTGCCTGGCTCAGTATCTTGTGTGAACACCTAGCCTTTGTTTCCCCTTCGTTGCACATCCAGTTGCCTTTTGGAAAAGCATCTTTGGGACCTACATGGCTTTGGGGCCTACAGGTGACTCTGGGCCTAATCCTGCCTGAGGCATGAAAGCTAACTGGGTGACTTTGGCTAACCACCAGGAAAACGTGAATTCTAGTCCTGAGTTCCTAGGCATGAAAATCAGTTGAAGGATTTGGGGCCAATCGGTGGGATGTCCGTGAGAACTCAGATGTTTCAGCCAACCTTGAGGACACAGGCTGGTATAACTATTACCCTTCTTTACTGCATGTCTGGAACGTTTAATCTTGGTGTATATGGCTGTGTGATGCCTAATCTTGGTTTAGCGATGGTAGACATGGTTTGTTTTCAAACCAATTTCTCGATTCGTCCCACCCGTGATAACCTGCAGAGAAATCTGGAGTAGGGAGAGACCTTCGCTGGTCATAGAAGGTCGAGGGCGGACCCAGTAAGAGAAGCCCACACAGCCTGCGCAGAATTGTGAAGCCGGGAGAAATAAAGCCAACACCACACATAAGACCGGAGAGATAAAAAATATTTGGGGAGCAACGTGTCATAAAAACAGTACAATGTGGGAAAGGTTCAGCCTGTGCTTTCGGTCTGGATCCAAGCTCTACTCTCTTAGTATTTACATTGTGGGGGCAGAGGAAAGGGAATAAACTTGCATGCACAAAGTCAAGGCCCCCCTCAAACGAGGTGATCAAAGTTTTTCCGTTCTTGGAGAAGGCCAGTCCGAAGAAGGGAAATGTACCCTGGCAAAAGGGTTCCCTTTGCGGACATATTCCTCAGCCGAAGGGTCTTCCTGGTGATCTCAGTGCTGCTTCGAGCAGGAAACTCTTGAGGAAAGGGGACCAAGGGGAAAAAAAAACCCAGAAAGAAAAGACCCTCTGCCTTTGTCCATCTTTGCCTGCAAAACCAAGAACAGAAAAACCACGCCAAGCTCTGAACGTAGCTTTGGCTTCATCAAGAAAAAAAAAATCGTGTTAACTCCTATTCGTATAAATAACTCGAAATTCAGGACGCCGAGATTGGCTCCCAACCGCTTCCCGGCATGTCAAGGCCGTCCTTTTTACTCGTTTCAGCGCTGTCAATTTCAACCCGGTGACGTTTGGCGTCGCTCCGCTTTGACGGACTTTCGGCTGAGCTTCCTCCAGGCGGCTCGCCTCGGCCTCCCTCGACCGAACCGCTTTACAACGGAACGAAATCATGGAGAGATGAAAAACGTGGGTGTCCTTTTGAAGGAGCCTTTGGAGACGACGCGACGGCGGAAGCAAAATCGTCGGTCCGGATTGCGGGACGTTCACGAGAGAAACACCGGAAGAATGCAGCTGGTGGAGACACGCTTCCAAAGAAGGGAAGAAATAACTTTTGGGGGGGCCAATCATACCTAGAGAGCGCCAGCACGCATCTCGCAGGTGGCCGATTGTCCTTAATACGAGAGTCCTCTGGGAAAAAAAGACAGTCAAGCTGCAGATCGGCGGCGGATCACGAAAGCGCCACGCTGAAGCTGTCCAAGGTAGATTCTCATTTTTGTGCTGTCGCTGGTTTTCCTCACCCAGATCTGTCAAGGATTGGGGGGAGAGAGAGAGAGAAAAAGAGAAATGATGATGCTGGGCAGAGCTGTCCCCGTATGGAGCTGTTTCAGAACTGGACTGGCTCAATATGACGTATGCCAGCCAGAAGTCCGGTTGGATTCTGCCTGCAATTCCACCCCCCTTGGTTAAACTATTACATATAATAATAGGGTTGGAAGAGACCTTGGAGGTCTTCTAATCCAACCCCCTGCACAAGTAGGAGACCCTATATTATTCTGGACAAATGGCTGTCCAGTCTCTTCTTGAAAACCTCCAGTGATGGAGCAGCCACACCTTTTGGAGGCAAAGCCGTTCCATTGATTAATAGTTCTCACTGTCTGGAAATGTCTCCTCAGTTCCAGGTTTAATGATCTTCTACCTGTTACTTCTTGGCCTGCCTTCAGGTGGTTTGGGGAACAAATTAATCCCCTCTTCTCTGTGACAGCCCCACAAGTACAGGAAGATTGCGATCACGTATGAAGTTGCAGTTCAGAAGGTGTATTGCTCGAGACTCTACACAAGAATCTAGTCAGCTAAAGTTCAATATTAAACAGGAGCTAAATAAGAGTCAGCAGAATTCAAGAGGGGTTGGACTGCGAACGTTTGTGGCAACACAATGACCCACTTAACTCCGCCCTCCATCTCTGCTGCTCTTCTCTTACAGAAGCAGGAAAGATTGTAGCCTTCGACTGAAGAAACTTTCATAATCCAGCTAGAAATCAACCAAGGGCTTATCTCTCCATTTTAGCCACACATCTAAGAGCAAGAAAGAGACGACGTCATCACGGGAACCGCCTGGATTTAAAAGCAGCCAGCTAAAAGCAGTGGAGCAGTCAAGATTTCTGTGTCTGACCCAGCGCCAGAAGAGCTAGACAAGAGTTCTGATTAAGTTTCAGAAGAAGAGCCGTGGTAAAGATCAGAAATGTTATCCAAAGAAATAATTGCTTGATGAAAATCTCCCTTCGTCCTCTGAAGGATCCTTCTCCGAAGCCCTCCAGCGGGCGGTTGCCATGCAACTAAGCAAGAACGAAGCCCGCAAACAATACGGCTTATCAAAGCACGCCAAAGTTACGGGGAAGGCTACTCCTGAGATTCGCAACTCCAGAATCCCCCCCCCCCACAACAAAAGGGAGACTTTGTCTTACCTCGTTGGCTCCCACTGAGCTGATCACACAGCTGATTTTGGTGTTCTCTTTCGATTCCAAGTAAATAGCCTGGCTTTTGTGATACCTGGAAAGAAAATATTGATTGATCTATCGTAGGGCACATTCGTACCCTATTTCGGTTTTAAAAAAAGAGAAAAGACAGAAAACCTTTGGGTTTTTTTTTGCTTTCTGAGATAATCTAAAATATTAGGCACGGGTTGAGTGTACGTGTGTGTCAAATCAAGCAGCTTTGATTTCTGGAGTGTGGATTCTTCCCTCGTGGTATTAAAGAAGTATTAGCACTCCAGCTCCCTTGAGCACAGTCCTCGACTTACAATCATTTGCTTAGTGACTGTTCAGAGTTACAACACTGAAAACACATCCCTCTTATTTACAACTGTCGCAGCATCCGCCTGGGCCAGGTGAACAAAATTTGAGGGCTTGTCAATCGGCATGTGTTTATTATGAGGGTCGTATTCAGCCCTTTGCCCAGATTCTGCGTTCCAGCCTGAAAACCCCCGCTATTTTTGTAAATCTAAATACCATTAAGGAGTTTTAGATATCCCATTCCTAGCCATAACCATTTGTTCTTGCGAGATAATGATCCTTTTACATGTTGCCTATCAAGACAAGGGAGGAAGAAATATATTTTTCCAGCAGCCAGCGGATTCATTTAAAAAAACACACACACACACACGATAGCTGGGGAATTTTAATTTGTACGTTGAAATTATCCTCCTACACAGGGAAGCTATTTTAAAAGTATCAACTTTCCGACAAACTATTGTAATATTTTTTTAAAAAAAAAAATTACAATACACGTTTCTAACGGTACATGGGGGATAGCTATGCTGAGCATAGGAAAATCTGTGAAAGGAGAACAAAAATAACCAGGAGCATTCTGAAATTAAACAAAACATTTAGCCTAATATAAGAAACATTCTATTACATGCGGGAAAACCCCCTAGGCAGGGAATTCCAGTGCTAGAAGGGAATGGGGTTTGCGGAGAAGAGAAGAGGGAGGGAGGGANGGAAGGAAGGAAGGAAGGAAGGAAGGAAGGAAGGAAGGAAGGAAGGAAGGAAGGAAGGAAGGAAGGAAGGAAGGAAGGAAGGAAGGACGGTAGACAGATCGTTAATGACAGGGAAGAAACCTTGATGCTCTCTGATCTGGGTTGTTTTCTGGCAGATGTTTTATTATCCAAACTAGGTAACATCATCAATGCTAGAAGGAAGACAGAATTGTGAAGAAGAGGAGGAGGATGTGGGATCCTTGGTGCTCTCTGAGCTTGTTTTCTTATAGATGTTTCACTACCCAGCTAGGGAACATCATCAATGCTAGAAGGGAGTGAGATTTATGGAGAGGGAGGAGGAGGAGGAAGAAGAGCAAGCCCTTTTCCAGCCTAACCTACACAATCCTTAAAAACTGGTTAAGTATGCAATTGTTTTCATCAAGCCTTACTAACACCAGGTCACATGTTTTCAATTAAAACCTTTTAACTTAAAACAGATTTGGGGTTTTTTATGGAGGGGGGGATGTCCATCATTAACTCTGAACAGTCCTTAAGGGACCGGTCATTAAGCGAGGACGGTAGATGGGATCCTTTTAAAGATATGGCAGGAATGGGAAAAAATCCAAAACCAGCCATTCTCTTAAGAGAGAGGAGACCCCCTTCTGATCCTCTCCTGCCACCTTGTGGTATAAAACGCTCATTACAGCCTGGATTTCCATTTTCCCCTGCATTTGGCTCCATGGGGGGGGGGGGCGGGGAGAGACTTTGGGACTACGTTTCCCAGAATCCCCCTGCTGGGACAGTCCCTCTGAGCTCGAACAGCCATTAATACACTCCATGCTTAGCTTCTGTCCCAGCAGGCTTTCCACGACGTTTACAAAGAAGCATGACTTTTGCTGCCCCTTCTGTTTGGAAGCTTCTTATTAAAGCTGCTCTTGAAAAGCCCACCCACCCCCGTTCTAGCCGGGACCCTTACCATCGTTTATCGTAGTACAGCTTCCCGTCTTCTATCCGTGCCTCAAACCGTTGGGCTGGGGATTCTGCGGGCGTGGTCGGAAGGTGCTCGGGCGAGGAAGGAGACGCTGGAACAGAAAAGAAGACTTTGTGATCGACCGCGGTTTAAAACGCGGCCACGAACTCAAGCAAAAGAAGTAAATGAAAGATTTTGTTTTCGTTGGCTAATTAAAAATGAAGTGAAAACAATGCCCGTGGTGGTACTTTACTCACCTGGTCTTTTAGGTGACTTAAGCTATAAAAGAAAGGAGAGGAAAAGTGTTGAACGAAGAGTCACAAAATACTACCCGGAAAATGGATTCAGCAAGAGAAATTCATTTTTAGCTGTTAAGGTTTCCGCTATATAGAAATGAGGGGCTATTAACAGCTTTTCAAGGTTTGTCCCAAGCGTCTAGTCCTCAACAATTCTATTGGAGACCACGCCTGTCTACCGGATAAAGACCTTTTGCTGGAAATGAATCCATCCTTTTTCCTTACCCGTTTACGATAGAAGAGAATAATCTAGGGAGATTCTCAATCACCACGATCAGGATTGGCCCAAAGGTGCTTTTTCCAAAAGGCAAATGGACTTTGATTTATTTTATTTTTTAAAAAAAACAAAACATTTAGTTTCTCATCTAAGAAGCTTCTTCAGTTCTAACTGCTAGAACTGAAGAAGTTTATTGGATGAGAAGCGAAATGTTTTCAAAGAGGGGAAAAAAACCAAAAAAGTCCATTTGTCTTTGGGAAAAAGCACCTTTGGGACAACAGAATATTTGTAGCCTGGGACTGAACTGTGGGGCCCTTGGTGCTCCGAGCTTGGTAGTTTTCTTGCAGACGTTTCATTACCCAACTAGGTAACATCATCAGTGCTAGCAAGGGAGTGAAGTTTGTGAAGAGAGTGGAGAAGAGTGAAGAGAGGAGGAGAAGGAGGGGGATTAGGAAGAAGAGACCTGCGGGGCCCTTGGTGCTCTCTGAGCTTGATGGTTTCCTTGCAGACGTTTCATCACCCAACTAGTTAACAGGATCAGTGCTACTGTTTTAACTTTTTGCAAGGTTTAGATGTGATCGCTGTGGTGCTGAGGAATATAGAAAATAAGGAGAGTCCCTTTCACACCAACATCTGCCTTCAGAAGACACACATAAAACCAGCTCTTCCTAAGAAAAACAGGATAATCGCTCAAATTCAGAGAAAATAAAACTGGGGCAATTAGACAGAGAAAACAAAGGACTCCCCCCCCCCGCTTCTTCTCCTACCCGCGCTTACCTTATTCAGGGTCCTCAAATCTTCCATTATCTGTTCATCTGTTAGGAGATAATTGAGCTGAGGTGATACACATTAAGGGCATTCTCCATAATGATAATCAATCCAGAACAGTCACGTTAACCACTTTGGCCTTGCCAAAACAGCCCAACGGTGCCATCTCATTTTTCCAGCCCGTAACTGAGAAGAGGGCGTGCTGTACTTTGTTTTTTTTAGCCATTGTTGATTGAATATTAATGAACATGGTTTTTTTTTTTCCAGGGAGGGGAAGGAAGTGGGAACGCGATCTTTAATACTGCCCTACACACCAAACAGCGGTGCTGACATCTGGAAGCAAAAAAGTCAACTTTAAGACGGGCGTGGTTTTTTTCGGCCAAGGCCACAAGAAAAAAAAAAAAGGATTAACCAGAATGCAAAAGGGGATCTCAAGCACTTCCAAACACGCCTTGGACTCTCTCCCTGGCCCAGATGTTCGGCCACTTCTGCAGAAGGCTTCCTGGGGCCTGCCATCCAGGATGGGGAGGAGCCACTCCTAGCCTGAAGAACCCAGATCCTCCTCCTCGCCTTACAAACCACAATTTCCATGGCTAGACAAAAGTTTTGGCGAAGCGAATGGGCACGAGTCACCGTTGGCCATGCTGTTACGACTCCGAACAGCCGCTCAATGAACGGTTGTAAAGCGAGGACCACCGCTACTGGCCAGCCTTGGCCTTAGGGCAGGGTCCCGTTGCACAAAGGATATCTGGAGCTGGTTTCCTCCTTTTGTCAGGAATGGGGACGGGATCGTTCGGTCTCCTCCGCAATTTCCTTGTCATGATCGGCTTCACTTCCATGGAATCTGAAGAGGATTAACAAACCAACTGGATTGTAGAGGCCACAAAAAATTTCTTTAAAGGCACAGAAAAAAAACAAACACCTTAGCACTGAGGCATCATAAAAACTATTTCTTTACTCCCCACTCCCAGACAGACAGACACAGACAAATGATAGAGACAGATAGATAGATGATAACAGAGAGAAATAGATATGATATATTGAGATAGATAGACAGACAGATAGAAAGAATAACTTTTGTCATTTTAAATGTACGCTAATCTGCATACATTAAAATGAAATTTTGTTGGGTGTGTCTAGTCTAATGAAAAGAAGGACTAATGGGGACATGATAGCCGTGTTCCAATATTTGAGGGGCTGCCACAGAGAAGAGAGTCAAGCTATTTTTCCAAAGCACCTGAAGGCAAAACAAGAAACAATGGATGGAAACTAATCAAGGAGAGAATCGACCTAGAACTAAGGATGAATTTTCTGACAGAACCATTAATCCGTGGAACGACCTGCCTCCAGAAATGTGGGAGCCTTCCAACACTGGACGTTTTTAGTAAGAGATTATACAATCTGAAATGGGATAGGGTCTCCTGCTTGAGCAGGGGGTTGGACTAGATGGCCTCCAAAGTCCCTTCCAACTCTTGTTATTCTGTGATTCAATTTCACTGAATCTCCAAAAACCAGGTTGACTTTTGTAAAAGATTCTATTGAATCTGGACATTGAGTCAGGGGCATCCAAAGCAATTTGTCTCAACGGCTTGGAGAAGTTTTAGCCTCTGCTTTACCTCCTGTCAGTTCCATGGTGAGCTTCTCACTCTCAATCATCTTTTTCTTCTCTTCCAATTCCGCGATCAAGCTCTCCTTCAGCTCAATTTTCTTATCCTCAAACTCCTTCACTGCTGCTTTCTTCTCTTTGATGTAGTTTCGTTCCACCTGCTCTGTCTAATCCACACCCAAAAAGAAAAGGGAGAGAGTTTTCAAGAAAGGCGAAACTTAAGCTTGCTCTTAAGTTAGTTAATGAATTCCTTAATCGGCTGCCTGGCCCCATCTTGGATGGGCTTCTGATAGGCTGGGTCCAAAATTGTGCTCAAAGAGTCACAGCAACTTTGTTTAAATTTGGGTGAATTTACTCCACATCTATTTCAGCTGGAATCCAACGCAGCAAACAGAAATAATCCTGAAGTCCTAACGTAAAATAGTTTTTTTGTACGATATACTTACTTCCAACTGAAGAAAAAGCTCTGGAAGGAAAAAGACATGGCAATTATTAGAGGGGAGAGACAAGCATATTTAATTTTAGTAGAATACTGGAGTTGTTCTGAGATAGGTTCTCAGACTTACAGCTGCTGCAACATCCCCAGGGTCATGTGATCAAAAGTTAGGGGCATGTATTTATGACAGCTGCGCAGGGGGTTGGACTAGAAGACCTCTAAGGTCTCACAACCATTCTAAACGGTTGGTGGAAATGGGTATGGCCAGTCTAGAGAAAAGAAAAACTAGGGGTGACATGATAGCAGTCTTCAAGTATCTCAGGGGCTGCCACAAAGAAGAGGGAGTCAAGCTATTTTCCAAAGCACCAGAAGGCAGGACAAGAAGCAACGGAGGAAAACTAACCAAGGAGAGAAGCAACCTAGAACTAAGGAGAAACTTCCTGACAGTCAGAACAATTAACCAGTGGAACAACCTGCCTCCAGAAGTTGTGAATGCTCCAACACTGGAAGTTTTTAAGAAGAGACTGGACAGCCATTTGTCTGAAATGCTATAGGGTTTCCTGCCTGAGCAGGGGATTGGATTAGATGACCTCCAAGATCCCTTCCAACTTTTTATATTATTATTGTTGTTGTTGTTGTTGTTACCTGCATTGCGAATCCTCTCTTTATATTGCTGATCCAGCTTCTTCATCCTCTTCTGATATTCTTGTAAGGTACCTATGGAATAAGAAGTCACAGCATGAGAAACTGCAACCGCGCGGCTCTAAAAATAAATCTTCTCCCCAATGTTTTTTTGCCTTTGTGGAGCCGGGGTGGGCGTGATGCATCCGGCCCATGGGCTGCCAGTTTGACACCCCTGTTCTAGGTTGATGCTCTTCTTAGTTTCCATTCTTTCTCGTCCTGCCTTCGGGTGCTTTGGAGAATAGGCTGACCCCCTCTTTTTTTGTGGCAGCCCCTCAAATATTGGAACCCTGCTATCAGGTCACCCCTTGTCGTATGTCTTCCTATGTCTGAGCGTTCAGCGGCTCATTTGGCTTTCCACTGGGAATTCAATGTCAAAGTTGTTGGGCACGTGTTGTGCACGTGCTAGTGGGGGATTCCTGGATTTGAGCCTTCCAGCTGATAAATGAAGGTCAGCAGGCATTGGTAGGAATGAGTTGAATAGTTGCAGAACCAACTATTCAGGACTAACAAACCTTTTTTTTTTTTGGTAAAAGTTTTTATTAATTTTTTCCATACATACAATAATAATTTTTCAACCAACGTGCTGTCTGAGTTTACATTCGCTAATACATATTTAATTCCCAATCCTTTGTTCTTTCCCTTAGCCACCGATAAAATAAGTCCCAAGTTTGATAATATTGTTTCTTCTTTTACTTTCAGGCTCATAGTCAATCTGTCCATCTCTGCACATTCTAGTAATTTTTTTTTATTATTTCTTCATCTGATGGTGTTCCTTCATTTTTCCAATATTGCGCACATATAATCCTTGCCGCTGTTGTGACGTGCAAGATCAAATATAGGCTTTGTTAGGACTAACTAACCTTCTTGTTAGCATAGTTTCTTTTTTCCCTGAAGATCTTGCAGGAGACCAGATCCGAGAACTGAATGTTCCCGTGTAGGCAAACTCACAAAACTAAACGGGATCGTAGTTGGCAATTTAGAAGCCTGACTTACCTTCCTGTAGTTGCTGCAGCTGTCTCTTTAGCGATGCCAATTTATCCTGGTACATCCTGAAAAGAGAACAGGTTTTAATGTTCTAAGCTGCCCAGAGTCACCTGGCAGTTTGGATGGGCGATGAGCAAATGTAAATAATAATAATAATAATAATAATAATAATAATAATAATAATAATAATAATAATAATAATAATAATAATAATAATAATAAACAACCAAGAGAATAGGTGAGGAAGAACTGGAGAAGATAACAAAATACGAACAACAGCAAATAGAAACAGAACGAGTGTGGCAAAAGAAAGAAAAGGTAGTATCCAGTGATAGATGCTTTGGGTGCAATCCCAAAACAACTGAAGCATTACGTGTACCGGTAGTCCTCAACTTACGACCACAATTGAGCTCACGATTTAGGTTGCTAAGTGAGACATTTGTTAAGTGATTTTTTGCCCCATTTTACAACTTTTCTTGCAACAGTTGTTAAATGAATCACTATCTATAACTACCTATGTCTATCTATTTATCTCTATCTGTCCATCTCTTTCCCCATTTCTCTATTATCTATCATCTCTCTCTCTCTCTCTCTCTCTCTCTCTCTCTCATCTATTATATTTCCCAATCTCTTCTCTGTTTCTATCTCTCTGTCCCTCAATCATCTATTCATCCATCTGTCCATTCTATCTATCTATCTATCTATCTATCTATCTATCTATCTATCTATCTATCTATCTATCTATCTATCTATCTATCTATCTATCTATCTATGCATCCATATCTATCCACCTAACTACCCACCCACCCCATCTATCAGCATATGTATGTATGTGTACATATATTTATACATATATTTATATTTACACACACACACACACACACACACACACACACATTAATGACAGTCCATTTTGAATATCCAGTGGAAAAAAAGAGTTTTGAGAGTTAACAAGGTTGATACTCTATGGTGCAAAGCTGTGGTAATACTCACTGTTCCTTCATTTCTACGTAATCTTCCTCATCGTGTTTCGCCAGATCAGTTTCGCTGGCATCTTCCGTATCTAAGCAACAGGATCAGCATCATGTCAGAAAACATCAAATAAGATGCTTTTGGCTCAAGCATTTCTGCCAGGTGACCCTGCAGGGCCAAAGCTGCTCATTGACTTTTTTTTTTTTAAAGCTCTAGAGATGTTGGCCCTCAGCAGGGGTGAGTTTGAAAAGTGGCAGAGATGGGCATTGTGGTCCCCCACCCAGTCTCCATTCTTGGGAGAAAGTAATGGGTATTGTGGTCCAGACACCAGTGATAGGAAATGATGGGTGTTGTGTTGAGGACCCCTGCTCTACAGTCTCCACTATTGGCAGAGAGTGATGGGTGTTGTGGTCCAGCACTTGCAATCACTCTAGTTGGCGCAGAACAATGGGTGCTGTGGTTGAGCACCTGCAATCATTACACACAGTAATGGGTATTGTAGTCTCCAGACACGAAGTGATGGGTGCTGTGGTTCATCCCATGCAGTCTCCAGTGTTGGCAGAGAATGATGAGTAGTGAGGACCACAAGCCAGTGATGGGTATTGTGGTCCAGCCACAAGAGACAGGAAGTCATGCTCTAGCCCCTACAATCTCCATTGCCTACAAAGAGTGATGGGTGTTGTGGTCCAGCACTCGCACTCCCTTTAGCTAGGGCACAGCGATGGGTACTGTGGTCCCAAACACAGTACAGCCAGTGATGGGTACTGTAGTCCTGCCGTTTCCACTGTCGACAGAGGACGATGGCTGTTGGGGCCGAGTACCTGCCCACTACAGCCAAAGGGAGGGTTAGTGCGGTTCAACCTCCAAGAGAGAAAGTTATGGGCCTTGGGGCTCACCCCAGGCCGCCTCCATTGCCGGCAGAGCACGATGGGTGCTGGAGTCAGGCCCCTGCTCTCACTACAACCAGAGCAATGGGTAGGGTAGTCCAGCAGCCACCCAGACCGGAAGTGACGGGATTACCCCCTCTACCCCCTACAGCCCCCCTACAGCCGGCAGGGAGTGATGGGTGTTGGAGTCGGGCGCAAGACCAGCCGGACCCACCCTCGTCGGAGTCCCGCGCGCGTCCGCTGCGCTCGCCGTCCTCCTCCTCGGGGGGGCTGTCCAGGTCCTCCTCCCCATAGCTCTCGGCGGCGGCGGCGGCGGCAGCGGCGGCGATCGCGGCGGCTCCGGCCCCCGGGGGCAGCGTGGAAGCGGCGGGCGGCAGCGGCGGCCCCGGGGGCAGCGCGGGGGAAACCAGCGCGGCGGCGGCGGCGGCGCTCATGGCCCGCGAAGCAAGGCGCGCCTCGTCCCTCCGATCCGCGGCGGCGGCGGCGGCGGCGGTAGGCGAGCGCTCACAGCAGCGCGCTCCTTCCCCGCGCAGGCGCGGCAGCCGCTTCCGGGATCGCGGGGGCGACACCCACCTCGTCTGGCCCGTCGCTTTTTCCGTAGACCTGTGGGCGGGGCATTGCCCGCCGGCGCCGACCCTTAAGGGCGAGCGTAGACTCGTTCTGTAGACTTGTACGCGAAGCGCCTTCTTCCGGGCTCCGTTTGCTCGTCCCTTCCGTAATGCTTGGTCTAGCTAGCTTTGTGTTTCTCAACCTTGGCGCCTTGAAGATGGGTGGACTTATTATTATTATTATTAATTATTATTATCCATTATACGTGAACCTTAGTCAACTGAACATTGAAATTGGCTGGCGCTGATGGTTGACACGGGTTGCTACCAGCATCCTAGGTATCAACCAGGTACCTCCTTAAAATGTAAGATGATGATATTATTATTATTATTATTATTATTATTATTATTATTATTATTATTATTATTATTATTATTATTATTGTTGTTGTTGTTGTTGTTGTTATTATAATTATTATTAATAACAATAACAATAATAATAATAAGAGGAGGAGGAGGAGGGGTTGGAAGGGACCTTGGAGGTCTTCTAGTCCCAGCCCCAGCTCAGCCCAGAAACCCTATACCAGGGGTGGGGAACCTTAGCTGTTTTATGACTTGTGGACTTCAACTTCCAGAATTCCTGAGCCAGCCAAGCCCCCCCCGCCTTAGACCATTTCAGATTTCCCCAGCCAGCATGTTTTAAGATGGATGGACTTCCTCCCAGAACTGCCTAGCCAGGACCCTGGGGAATGTTTCTGTCCAACTTTCCTCTCTAAACTTAAACAGAGTAGAATAGAATAATAGAAAATAGACTACAACAGAACAGAATAAAAAATCATAGAAATAATAGAAAGGGGATAGAAGTCTTTATTGGCCGAGTGCAATTGAACACACAAGGCATTTGTCTTTAGCAGCAGCTGCAGCCTTTTAGGGATCAGCCCAGCTGGCATTCTCTACCCCCAGCCAGTAAATGAACTCGGGCTTTGAACCAGATAAGATTTCCTGGATCTTTTACCCCGGGGCAAGTTTTCCTCCGGAGCAACTGCGCGGCACCTTTTCCAACCTATTAATAATCCCGCTGCCCAATATTGACCTCCGAGGGGCCCCGCCCGGCGCGTGGGCGGAGCCGGCGCCAGGCTTCCCTCGGAACGAGGAAGCGCAGCTGCTGCTGCTGCAACCTGATTGGTCCGTTGCTGAGCCCCTTTTTCTTCCCGGTTCTTTGGGAGAAGCCCGAGAGAAAGGGGGAGGAGCCGAGGCGGGCCAGGCTGAGGAAATCGAGCGCCGATTCCTCGCTTCCCGGCTCAGGGCCCGCCAACCAAGTTCTCCTCAGAGGCGAGCCAGGCCGGGGAGAGGAGCGCCGCGCGGTCGAACGCCATTGGCCGCGCCTGAGGAGAAAGCGAGCGAGCTGCGTCTCCGGCGGGGTCGGCGGCGGGGTCGGCTTGGAGCGTCCGGGCGCCGCTGGGCTGCCTTCCCAGGGCCGGCCGGGAACTTTTCCCAGCCGGGGACGGGTAAGGAGGCACTTTTGAGGAGACGCGGGGCTGCCACAGCCGGAGAGGAAGGGGGGGGGTCGCGTGGCGAGGAGCGGTGCCGCGGCCGGAGGAGGAAAAAAGCAGCCGCTGAGGGGAAAAAAGAAAAAAAAAAGGCTGCGAAGGCGGAAGGCGCCCCCTCTTTTTTCCCCTCGCTCCTCTACGTAAGGAAGTTGAAGGCTGCGTGGGGCGCAGGGGGAGGGAGACGGGAGAAATGGGGCGCGACACCAGAGGTCATCTAGTCGGTCCCTCTGCTCATGGGGCAGGGCGCTGGTAGAGCAAAAGTCTGGCTGTTCCAAGAGTGGGGGAGAGGAGGAGGGGGGAGGCAGCTGGGGAAGGAGGAGAGAGACCTGTTGCGGGAGGGAAAGAGGGAGAGGGGACACCAGAGGCCATCTAGTCTCTCCCTCCCTCTCTCTTCCCCCCCCCCTCGGGATAGAGCGCTGGTAGAGCATAGTCTGGCTGTTCCAAGAGTGGGGAGAGGAGGAGGGGGCAGCTGGGGAAGGAGGGAGAGGGGACACCAGAGGTCATCTAGTCTCCCTTCCTTTGGGCAGGGCGCCTCTAGAGCAAAGCCTGGTTGTTCAAAGAGTGGGGAGAGGAGGGGGGGCAGCTGGGGAAGGAGAAGGGAGACCTGTGGGGGAGAAGGGTCTGGGGAGGGCAAGAGATGGGGAGAGGGGTGTGTGTGGGGGGGTCTATATTGGGAGGCAGGGGAAAAAAGAAGAAATTGGAGGTTCAGAGAGCCCTCCATGGTTTGGAGAGGGGGGGGACCTGGAAGGGATGGAGTGGAGGGTTGGGGGGGTGCTTTGGGGGTGCATTAAGGAAAACAGTGCAAAGTCTGGCAGAATTTATCCCCCTGAAATTCTGGAGAAGGCAGCCCGCCAGGTGTTTGGGGAGGGGTGCTGTAAGGAGGAGAATTATGGGGGGGGGCAGGGAAGGGGGGCTGGGGGAGCAAGCTTTGCAGCAAATGGCTTTGGCCTCCCAACTCTAGCTGGATAGCTGCCACTCTCCGTTTTCATATTCTTGTCTTTGTGATGTGAGTCACCCAGATGTTGTGGGAGTTTAATCCCTGGAGGCTTTCAAGTAGAGACTGGACTGCCATCTGCCAGAAATGGTGTAAGGTCTCCTGCTTGGGTGGGGTCGGACTAGATGACCTACAAGGTCCCTTCCAGCTCTGTTATTCTAAATTCTAAAAAAGATAGAGAAGGAAGCAAAGACAGAGTTGCTCTTGAGATAAGACCGCGCTATACTCTCCAGCGCCATGTATTCTACCTTGAATCAGAAATTAAGCTAAAGGCTACGCCTGATGGTGCCTTCCTTTGAAAGCAATTCCATCCACCCTAGGCACTACACGTGCTTCTAAAATCCTGAACATCGGGAAGAAGGAATAATCCTTTCATTGCGTGACCCCGATGTAATTACACGGTACCTGTTCAAAGAGAGGATTTCCTTATGATTGCTATTAATTAATTTTACAAGTGCAAATAAAACAACACCAAAAATCAAAAGACAAAAGTAGGCAAGCATCGTAGCCTTAGCTGTTAACTTTAAAAAACGGCCCTGAAAAAGGTGACTTGTGATCCTGATTTTTTGTTTTGTTTTCAGATAATTGTAGTTTGTATTCTTTCCCCCCTAAATTCTCCCTGCAGGCCAGCAGCAAGCTAGGAGCTTTCGTTGATGCTAGGCAAAAATGCACTAAAATAGCGTGGCAGAGAATTGCAAAGTGGCTGAATTTAGCACCGCTTGGAAGGGAGAAAAATATCAGCTCAGCCTCTTGATGGAGTAGGTGGTATCGATAGAAGGGGATTGGATCGAGAATTTTGGTATAAAGGGACCGAGTCAAGGCTGTTGGCTCAGAAGCTCTGCTCTGTGTTACCGGATTACTTAAATGCTTTGAGATCTTTAAATAGGTCTTCTACTAATAGTGCAAAAATTGTTAAGTTATATAACCGGAAACAAAACACAAGTCTTGAATCATTATTTTTCAGAGTTGCGTAATAGCAAACCAAAAGCCACGCCAATCTTGAATATGTTCACCCCACCCCATCCCCAAGCTTTATAGATCACCTTTCTAATCCTACCATCAGGGATTAATAATAATAATAGTAATCATCATTATCATCACCTATATCTATCTATCATCTGTCTATCATCATCTGTCTATCATATCTATCATCTGTTTATCTGTCTATCATTATCGTCTGTCTGTCTGTCTGTCTATCTATCTATCTCTATCATTTTCTGCACTGGATGTAAAGGCTCCTGAGATCACATTCTGTCTTCTTACTCCGTTCCAAGAAGTGGTTCCGTTCCTTTTCACTTAAAACATTTATTTCCCTTCTCTGAAAGCTTGGTCCCCAAAGCATTTCTGGATTCTGTTACCTTCGGCGAGGGAAACCTACCAAAATGGTCACGTTACTGACCAAATCCTTGAGATTTTGGGAGACTTAGGTCACTGGAGTAAATTCATTTTTCTCTCTCTCTCTCCTGCCTGGTTCTTCAGTTGTTGTTGCTGTTTTCCTTTGAATGGCATAAGTCATCTGAATCTAGAGGAAGCTGCAGTACGGTTGAATTTGAATAGGGAAGCAAGCCTTGATGTTCTCTGCACCCACAACTTCCTGATGGGGAAGGGGAGGGAGTGCATTTGAGCATGGGGGAAAAATAGGTGGGGGCTTATTCCTTTTTGTCTGTGGTCACTGAAATGCCTGGGGCAGTTCAGGAAGTATTGGAGGTCTCTTCCTCCTCATAAACAAGGAAGCATTATCCGCATTTGAGTGAGCTGGTGCTAATGATAGCTTAGTTTTGCTTCCTGCTGAATCTCGCCTGGTGTGGGGCAAGTAGAAGAACAGGCATGACTGGCAAATAACCTCTGGGGGCCCTAATTGTTATTTATTATTATAAAGTCTGGATAGTGTACGTGGCAGTGCAGCAAGTCCTTGGCGTACGACCACAATCGAGCCCCAATTTTCTGTCGCTAAGAGAGACATTTGCGAATAGGACTGGAGTAGGGTAAGTAGAATAGAATAGAATAGAATAGAATAGAATAGAATAGAATGCAGAATAAAACAGAATACAGAACAGAACAGAATAGAATAGAATATAGAATAATTGGAATGGAATGGAATGGAATAGATAAAAATTCCTTTGGAATTTGCGATAGGAAACCTGACCGCTTGCCTTACACATTTTCCCCCTTTCTGGCTAGGTCAGTCCTCTTAAGCCCATTCAGTAGAATTAGGGAAATCTGCTATAGATCTGCTTTTCCAATTTCTCACCAAGTAAATAATCAGATTTGAGAGAGAACAGGGAGGCTTAATCTACTCTGGCAGAGTGAGACATGAGGTTTTTGTTTGGTCCGATGAACGT